ATCCCATCATATATACCTCAAAAATACAAGTTATTTTTCAGATATTATGTAGTTTTTTTCTCCAGCCCACCAGTTAGTTCAATCTCAGCTCTCAGCATTTTAGATGAGATGCCAAGCCATAGTGGAAAAAGTAGTGGATTTTCAGTAAGAATGGGGAACAATTTAGTCCCTGGCTTAATACCCAAAATAATTATGTGACTTTGGAAGGTTATTTAGTTTCCCAACATCTCAGTTTTTCCATCTGAAAAATGTAGATGTTCAATAAAATGGCTATGGCTTTACATTCATTGTTGTTAAAAAAAAAAATGACTCTATACAGTGAGTTTATAGTCAAGGCTTTCTGAAACTCTACAATCAGGACATCACCTCCTGCGGCAAATAGTTCAGTAACTTTCCTGTATTCCTGTAAAGTTTTATGACATTGGAAAACATCTATCTGTTGTCAGACTTGCATAGCATCACTGCAGATTGCTAGGAGACAGTAAATGTTTTTACAAGCAAAAAGCCTTTGCATTTTCCTGCTGCTATCTATTGCAAAAAAAAAAAAAAAAAAGGTTGCACAGCTACTGAGTCAAACATCCTCCTTTAATTGACTCAGAGCTATAGGTCTGCCTTTTAATATCTAAGTGGAAGAAAAGGGAAAAGCTGCTTATTTTCATTTGATCCCCTTAGCAGCTCAAGGAAAGGAGGGAAAGGTCTGTGTAGACAAATCTGAAAACAATGTCCCTGAAGAACAATCCCAAAAAGAGCTTTGGTTGATTTCGATCTGCCAGACACAGGGATGAGAAACTGTCTCCCAGGCTGCAGACAGGACCACACCTGAACACTCCCACTCTCCCTGAAAGTATTAAGCACCTACCTCATTATTAAAACCTCCCTTCATGCAAACTAACCAGATTGCCTCAACCTTAAATGAACACAATTAACACTTTCTCGGTAGATGCTCTTATCTTTCCTCACAGTTTTTTTTAATGTTTCTGTAATTAAAGATGATTACTTCTCAAAAAGGCCAACATCAATCCTTCTCTCATTCTCACAATTAACTTCCAAATTTAAATTATTCTGTTATAAAACGATGAGCCAGACAAATGGTATCCTGGAGAGAGAATTGGTTAGCCATAGGGCCAGAAAAATTATTCTAGAGTTTATTAAAGTTCTATCTTTAAAAAATAATAATAATGGTCCTGGTCAGTGTGCTCAGTAGTTACAGCATTGGCCCGTGTTACAAGTTCGATCCCCAGCTACGTACAGGGTTGGGAGGAGACAACTAATTGATGTGTCTTTCACATCAATGTTTCTTTTTTTTTTTTCTCTCTCTCTCTCTCTCTCTCCCCCTTTCTCCCCCCCGCCTTCTCCCTCCTTTCCACTCTTTTTAAAAATCAATGGAAAAAATATCCTTGGGTAAGATTAACAACAACCCAAAAAATTATAATAAGCCATTGTTATACCTAGTAATTATATTGAATTAAAGTGAACCAAAGTAGCCTAGCCAGTGTGGCTCAGTGGTTGAGCATCAACCTATGAACCAGGAGATCACAGTTTGATTCCCAGTCAGGCCACATGCCTGGGTTTCGGGCTGGATCCCAATAGGGGGTGTGCAGGAGGCAGCCCGTTAATGATTCTCTCTTATCATTGATGTTTCTATTCTCCCTCTCTGAAATCAATAAAAATATATTTATAAATAAAATGAGACAAAGTAAACTAAAATGAGAGAGCACAATAAAAGATGTGATCAAAATTTACAGAAAAAAATCAAGATTTTTGTAATGACTCTATCCTGCCTATTATTTAGGTTTTTTTAAAAAAATGTAGCAGAAAACATAACATTTAATTGTTAGGCTCTGAATATAGATTATATGTGCAACATTACGTATTACCCATATCTCTAGAAGTTGCACAGAAAAAAATTTAGTCACGTTCCTGTGGTAGGCAGAGACAGACATGAGCAGAGCAAGGTCAATGGGCTGGTACAGAAGGTTGCCGGGTAGAAAGTCCCAGGTGCCTAGCAAAGGGCAGTTGTATGATGGGACCTTGTCGACAGGGTGACCTTTCCTCCCCTAGTAAATGAGGTTTGGGCCCCCTGACCTTTTCTCCCTAGAGATAATGCCTAGGCCAGTGGTTCTCAACCTTCCTAATGCCGCGACCCTTTAATACAGTTCCTCATGTTGTGGTGACCCCCAATTTCATTGTTACAAATTGAACATAATTAAGCATAGTGATTAATCACAAAAACAATATGTAATTATATATGTGTTTTCCGATGGTCTTAGGTGACCCCTGTGAAAGGGTCGTTCGACCCCCAAAGGGGTCGCAACCCATAGGTTGAGAACCGCTGATCTAGGCCTTCAAGGGAGAACGGCCTCTCCCTACCTCCTCCCCTTCTCCCCTCCCCCACTCCCCAGGTGCATTACCATCAGCCTCCTCACTCCCAAGCTCCAAGGGCCCTTCCTTTGCCTCCATAACTTGTTTCCTCAGCCCCTTTCTTCTACGAATTACTTCTTCTACCTCTGTGATTTAGTAAATAAATGTTCTCTTATAGTTTGAGTCTTGGCTCCAAATTCTTTCCTAGCCAGAACCCAAGTACCAAGGTTGCTGCACCTGGGCCTGGTCTGACCCCACCTGTCTAATACCTGGTGCCCCTCCCACCGCTGCCAACAATACTATTTTGAAATTAATAAAAGAAAGGCATTAATACAGACATGTTACTGCAAATAGTATAAAATTGCTCCCCAGAGAGTAAGCATTCTAAATGTAACCTCAATCTACCTCATCTCTATTTAATGTGTTTGACCTCTCAACAATAAAGTATAGTAAGAAAGAAAAAAAAAAGATAATCTCAATAAAATAAAGATGCCATGTCAATGCGCTGCCATTTCATGTTTAGTAGATAAACAAGTCAGTAAATGTTAACAATACTTTATATTATACTTATAACTGATAGTAGGCCCAGAAATGCCTTAGAAAGAGAACAAAATTACTAATTACTGAAGATTAGGAAAAAATGTTGGAGCAGTTTAGAGCAACCCAATTAAAAGTATATTTTAACGAGGATGCTAGAAGTTCTATATACCATATATGCTACGGCGGCATAGAGCCTCAGTATGCAAAAGGCAGTACTAACGAAAATGGTTTTAAATGATGCTCAGAAAACCTTTCTGAGCCTCCCCCCATTTTTTAAAGAAAAAAATAAGAATAAGACTGTGGTTAATTTGTGGTTAAATATATGCAATTACATATATAAAACAAACCTCATAGAACAGTGCTTAACACAGATGAAAAATTTTAAAATACTACCAGTAGCTATTCCAATTTTGGTTTGTGGGAGGACATAGCAGGAGCAAAAAGGCAGATGAGAAAATTCTTTTTCTATGAAAACCTCTTCTGTAAAAGCACACAAAACATGTTCTACATTACTTGGAAATAACACTGTCTTTTGGACTATGTAACTAAAAGTTTGAATTCTGGCCCTTTAAAATTTTGATGGAGAAAATAAGAGATGTGGAACTACTAGTATACATGAAGGTGGATGTATAAACACAGCGAGAAATAGAAAATGGCTAAGTTTTCAGCTTTTAAGGGATTTTATAACCCTTCTTCATAGGACAATGACACATACACACACACTATTTTTTAAAATATATTTTTGTTAATTTCAGAGAGGAAGGGAAAGAAAGAGAAACATCAATGGTGAGAGAGAATCACTGATTGGCTGCCTCCTGCATGGCCCCTACTGGTAGTCAAGCCTGCAATCCGGGCATGTACCCTGACAGGGAATGGAACTGTGACCTCCTGGTTCAAACGTTGGCACTCAACCACAGAGCCACGCCGGCTGCGCCACCCACACTATTTTTTAATTGTTAAGTGTAAGAGTTGAAAAATTAAAAAATACAAATATACTTATTATTGGGGCTCCTTCTTATAAGATTGATTAGACAATTTCTAACACGTTTCAAGTCACATAATTACACATTTCAAATATGTGTAGAAAGTAAAATATATAGCTTCATCAACTGTTCTTTATTCCTATGAGAAAACTAAGGGCCCAGCATGCGAAATCACGCGAGACCCAGGACCCAGAGTCCCATGGCTCAGTGGGACCCAGAAAGAGTTCCTTGGCTGCTGCCGCCGCTGCTGCCACTGCCACGAGAGGCGGGACCCAGAAACCCACCTGCGCCTCCAGTCAAGTCCTCCAGAGTCAAGTCCCCGCCCACCCGCGTGCACACAGCCTCCTGCTGATTGGTCATTAGGCATGACGGCGTGACGACCACAGGCTTTTTATATAATAGATGAAGGCTTTTATTTATAATTGAAAAAATATTTACCATTGGGTCCCACTTTGTTTTAAATAATGTGCAAGGCACTGAAAATGCAAAGATACACACAGTGTTTGTCCTCAACTCAATCCCTTAATTTATGGAGAGCAAAACTATCTCTACATGCCAAAGAGCAGCACAGAAATATCATATTCAACAGCCAGGGTAACATTTTTCACTGGAGTGCTGGCAATCACTTGGAAGAAAAGACAAAAGGAAAAATATTTAGAAAAAAATAAATTAAAACTAGAGAGAAAAAATAGGAAAGGAAAAAGTATATAAATTCGATCTAAAAATGGTATGTTGAGAGTTGATAATATAAAAAGAAGAGTGGTGTTGACAGTAATGTTTATTTAAGGTTAATATGTTTTAAAAGAATAATTTTAAACTCAATTTTCTTACTTTGGAAAATCAGTGATGAGACATACAAGATGCAATGTCCAAAAAAGTCAAGCGATTACAATTAGACCAAAGGATGTGTACTGAAAAGATATGTTTAGGCTTCATTCTCACCCTGTAATTCATGTTGAGTGGTGGAATAGAATGAGATCATCTTGGTGATTCACAATGGTTCATTGGGGGGAAGAACTGGCATAGTGCCCTTGTGAGGAATAAATGCTAAGTGTACGACTATAATTAACAGTCTGTAACATAGTAAGAAAATTTTAAAGTTTAAAACTAATATATTACACATGAAAGGTACAGTTACAGAAGTGCAAAGGGAAAGTCAATTAAGTAACAGTTTATTGGATATATTTGTTTCTAGAGTTTAAGCAGTGAAACACTGGTCAAAATATGATCAATTGCACAAACACATAAGGATTTCCCAAGTAAAATTGTTCTCCCTGCAAGGAGGTAGCATTACTTTAATGAGACCTTCATGTTATAGATTATGACTCTAGAATTCATGAATAAACTTGAAATGGAGAAGTGATAGATGACTGGGTTTAACCCAAAAAAGACTGGGGTATAATTGCAAGGCCGATGTATGTGTATTATATTTACTGATATTTTGCAACCACTAAGTAGAAGTGGCATAGCGATATTCTTTTCATGTAGGCTGGTCTCCATGGAAAGTCACTTTATGATTGGATAGTTGAGCAGAAAAGGGGAATCAGTTGTCTGATTGAATATTTAATGGCACTAGGCACCACAGGGATGAGATACCTACCTCAAAACTTTTATTATATACATGTCAGTTTCTGGCTCGTTGCGATTTTGTTTTATGTTTTCTAGCTAAATATTTATTTTCAGTTTGAGCTTTTTATACATTTTACATTTCATTAGGCTTGAGTTGCTAAAGTGATATTTTACCCAGCATGCTTTGTTAGAGTTTTGAGAGTTTCTAAGGTCTTTAGTTAGAAATTTCAACCATCTTTCTGGTTATTCCCACAAGTAACTGATCGTATGGAATAGCTGTGGATTGTACTAGTTTAACTCTCAGAAGCCGTCTTCTTTCTGTAATTTGCAAGTGTTTGGAATAATACGCATTCTTTTCAGGTTCAGCTTATAAATTTTATTGTGGTCATATAGCAACCTCTCAAGTGAAATTGGGGCACGGGGAGAAATATACATTTTTTATCTCATTTATTTAATAAAAATAAGCTATTTTTTTGCATTCCACTCTACAAAATATCTTTATATCCCCCAAACCAATATATCTACATATTGTGAAATAGTAAGAATATAATTTATTTTTCTGCAAAAAGCTTTATTGTTTCATTTGGTCCAATGCATGGGAGAGGGCTCCAGGGTGGTTAAAAGAATGGCTAGTAGTTTCGGGAAGAAGCTCAGGTAAAAGCCAGAGATGCCAGGGGGATGCGTGGGGGTGGGGGTGGGGGGCTCTGAAAGGTCTCTGGGCTCCAAAGGCTGCTAGTGGTGCTTGAGGTGAGCCTTTAAGAAGAGACACTCGCCCAGCCCAGCCTGGGGCCGGCAGCCTGCGGAGGTGAGTCAGGTGTCGCCCATCAACTTGATGAGTTTCACCTCCTCTCCCGGAAGTGGTTCTGCAGGAAGTCCCGGAGCTGAGGGTCTGTGGGTAGAACCCAGGGCCGGCAGCTCCACCAGGGCCTGGTTCAGGGTCCTCTCCAGGGCCAGGGCGGCTCCCCTGGCATCCTGAGTTTTGCCCCAGTCATTCTGGGAAGGTTTCTGCACGTCCTGGGAGAGAATGCGGCCGCCATGCTGGTTTTGCAGCTTTAAGAGATGCTCAGCGGCCTCGGCTTCTTCTCCACCAACTCGCAGAAGAAAGGGGCCCCCGCCCTCGAGAGCCACGTCACCGTCGGTGGGAATGCAGGAGGCAGCTGATCGATGTTTCTCTCTCATCGATGTTTCTAACTCTCTATCTCTCTCCCTTCCTCTCTGTAAAAAATCAATAAAATATATTTTTAAAAATAAGGATTAAGGTAGAAAAAACCCGGGGTGTTGGCTGGTCTAGGAGGTGGTCCTGAAGGCGGTGACTGATACGACTAGGAGAGTGGCCGGAGGCTGGAAGAAGGGGCGTGCCTGGGTCTGTTCCGTCCAAACACTGTTGAAGCACAAGACAGATCCGGGATCTCCGAGTGCGCTGCCAAGAATGTAAATATTAATGACTAAAATTAAATTATATCCATCTGTGAAATAGATAGTAGTACTATTCATACCTTCAGAATTCCAGCTACCATGCAGATTTGAGGACACAGATTAATTTTATCTTGAACAAGTTATGTTTGTATTCCTTTGAGTGTTTTTCCAGAAGACAGTTAATAGTGACACATGCATCTCAAGGATAAAGACAGGGTAGAGTCCTGGCTTCAGTTGGTTGAGTGTCGTCCCATGCACCACCAGGTCGCAAGCTGGATTCCTGGTCAGGGCATATGCTGGGATTGCAGGCTCCATCCCCAGTAGGAAGCATCTAGGAGGCAACTGATTGGTGTTTTCTCTCTTTCCCGTTCCCTTCTCTTTCTCTAAAAATCAATAAAAATGTATTTTTAAAAGGAGAGAAAGGATAGACAACTATGCCTTGGTTATGACAATTTATGTCATTGACAATTAAATGAGAATGATTTATCTTGAACATGAAGCAGAAACCAGATTTCAGTGGGTGGGAAAGTATATGAGACATGTTTAAACAGAGTATAGAGGAGGTTATTTCAAGAAGCTTGGCTGTGAAGGGGAGGACTCGAGGGCCACAGTGGGTTCTTAAACTGGACCGTAGGGCCGGAAGAAAAGCATGGATGGAGTGTCTGTGTGAACTAATATAAATTCAAAGTAAACATCATTGCATAAAAGGGAACGGTCTTTTTTTTCAATAGTTTTATTCATTTCAAATGGGCCGGATCCGGCCTGTGGGCCGTAGTTTGCCCACGGCTGGGATAGAGTGTCGGTGTGTGGACTGAAGGGTCCTGGGTTCAATTCCAGTCAAGGGCACATGCTCAGGTTGCAGACTCGATCCCCAGTAGGGGGGTGTGTAAGAGGCAGCCTACCAATAATTCGCTCTCATCATTGATGTTTCTATCTCTCTCTCCCTCTCCCTCTCTTTAATCAATAAATCAATTAAAAATATATTTAAAAAAACACTGAGTGATGAAAGTGATAAACTTAGAAGGGTGGCAGGCAGGCTGGAAGTGTCACGGTTACAACTGGATTTTTTTAATTGATTAAGGTGTTATATATGTGTCCAATTGGGGTTGTCTTATTGTGCTAGGAGCCAGTCGCAGCAGGTGCCATGGTGCTTCTGACTGTATGTGGGGTCTGCTGAGTGCCCAGGCAGTCGGCAGCAGAACCCTTCGCTGGCTGTGGCAGACCACTGCACTTTCCTCTCGATTTGCTCTATGTACCGGGATACTTCCATCTGCCTTGGCTAGTTCCCCCCCGCCCCCCCAAAACCTTTGACTTCATATCTTCAATTTTCTAAAGAACAGCTACCTATATTTAAAGCTTGGACCCTAGATATATGAAATTTCTTTTAAAAAATACTTTTTTATTTATTTCAGAGAGGAAGGGGGAGGGAGAGAGAGATAGAAACATCAACAATAAAAGAGAATCATTGACCAGCTGCCTCCTGCTCACCCCCAGTTGGGGATCTAGCCTGAAATCCAGGCATGTGCTCTGACCTGGAATTGAGCTGTGACCTCCTGGTTCGTGGGTCCACACTCAACCACAGAGCCACACTGGCTGGATTAAGAATTCTTAAAAGGAACAGATTTAAAGAACAACTCCATATCAAATTATAACTTTGGAAAAAGAAATCAGGCAAACAGTTTAAAAAGAAAGTGTTAATTCTGCGTGAAAAACTTTAGAAAGTAGTGTTTCTGACTCTAGACAGATTTTTTTTTGAAGATTTCATTTGCAGTCATCAGCTTTGCCTGTTATGAACCATCCTTAGCTTTTAAGAAGTATGATTGATATGCCAAGAGAAGAAATACAGTGGAATCATATGAAATGCTTACCTAATACCAGAGAAGGCAGCAAAAAGAGTAAAACACATAAAAGAACGAAAGAACAAGGCCACGAATAGAAAACAGTTACAAATTTGGTAGATATTCATCTCCAATGTGCTCAGGACCGGAACTGTCTGCTACTGTGATGGTGACAGTTGCCACCTCTTCTGTTTGGATCACTTTGCACACCAGCTGGCATGGGTTCTGGTACTTAAAAGCCATCCCTGCCGATGCTGGTGACCAGAAGAATGGACGGAATCTTTTACACAGCAGTTCCCCCCTTATTCACGGCTTCGCTTTCCATGATTTCAGTTATCCATGGCCAACCGCAGTCCGAAAATATTAAAGGGAAAATTCTAGAAATAAAGAAGTCCTAAGTTTTAAATCGCATGCCATTCTGAGTAGTGTGATGAAATCTGACACCATCCCGGCCTGTCCCACCCTGGACATGAATCATCCCTTTGTGCAGCGTATCCGGCTGCACATGCTTAGTCACTTAGTAGCCATCTGGGTTGTCAGATTGCCTGTCGCGGCATTGCAGTGAGTGTGTCCAAGGAACCTTTCAAAGTGACCCTGTAGCTCAAGAGGTTCGATGCTGGCAATTCGAATACACCAAAGAGAAGGCCGCAAAGTGCTTCCTTTCGGTGAAAAGGCGTGTGTATAGGAAAACCCATAGGATTTAGTAGTATCTGTAGTTTCAAACATCCACTGGGGTGTGTGTGTGTCATAGAATGTATCCCCTGCAGAAAAGGGGGGACTCCCGTATTCAGTTATAAACCTTACAGCAGTGCCACCATGAGTTCCACGTATCTTCTAGAAGTTTTAGTGGAACACTCCTCTCAGTTTCATTCCTCAGTCCTTTCTCTAGGACTAAATCATGAATCCCTGCAAACTGGGCCCAACAACTGTCTGAACAGCTGCTACATCATTTTTACTCAGAATCACTGTTCGTTCCTTCTCTTCCTGAGATAATGTTCTTAAGTCAAACTGCATTCACTTATTCTAAGGAGGTATTATATGGTGGGAGGCACTGGTGACTAAGAGGGACTAGAACCCAGTTCCTTCCCTCAATAAGTTCACATTCTAATAGAAAAGGTAGAGAACAAAATAGATGATTACAATATAGTCTGAAAGTGCTATGACAGAGAAAAGAATATAAATATAGAAGCACAGGGTAGAAGTACTTAACCCAGACAGAAGGACATCTACAAACAATATCACAACACAGATATGTTTGAAAGATGGGGAACAATTAACTAGCTGAAGAAATAGGTTGCAAACAATGTTTCAGACCATGTACACAACATGCACAGGAACACGGAGCCAGAGCCCGGCACAATAAAAGATATGGTAGCACTCTTAGGATAAGTTCCCTTCCAGAAGTCTCCTTGGTCCTTGGTTCTTTATATGCTGTGAAAAAAACTGTCTGGGCCTGTACCTCAATCCACCAGATGCCCCAGGGCATTTCTGAAATCAAGGGCCAACGTTAAAGTGCAAAGTGGAATCATGTCTCAGGAAACATGTGCTTTGCACATTACAAAGAGAATAGACTAGGAGAGGTAAAATGAGGAGAAAGAAGAGAGACAACATTTAACTCCACGCCCCTCCTGAGATGTCAGGAGATAGCACATTTCATGTGCTCCTTAGTTCTGGGCCGACAAATGGCCTGGGGAGGTGGTGTCCTCCCAGTCATGTCATACAGAAGATATTTGCACTAGCATATTTGTGACCTGAGAGGTGCCAATACCAGGTGGTAAAACTATGAGAAAACGCAAGCCCTTGTCAGCAACTGACTAGAATGGCAGATGCTAGCTTTCCTAATATGACCCTAACCGGTGCGTTCTCATCATTTGCTGCAAAAACAACTCCAGAAATTATCTGATGAGCTGATGCCCTGTACTAGTCATGGTCATTCGACTTCCCTAGCATGTAGGATGTTTGCCAGTAAGAGGAAGGGTAGTTATGTTTTTGAAACTGTATGTTGGGGTCTCACATTTCAGTATCCACAGAAATTCTAGCTAATTTGTCTGTTTGCTTGTTTTTAATCTTTATTTTGAAAGTATTACATAGGTCCCCCTTTTCCCCCCATTGACTCCCTCCAGCAGTGCCAGCAGGCCCCAGATAGCAGCTGGCAGGCCCTGATCATCCCGGCCCCAATCGGGACTGGGTGAGATGGCCCCCAATCGGCCCTGATCACTGGCCAGGCCTAGGGACCCCACCTGTGCACAAATTTCATGCACCAGGCCTCTAGTATGCATATATGCATGGCCCATGGACACAGATGAGGCCATGTATATATGGGGTGGTGAGGGCCTGGGGCTGGGGGGGGAGGGCTGGAGGGAA